TTTTCAATACCAGGCATGTGTGAAGCACTAGTATCAGAATGCTTCTGAGTATATGCCCAGTGAGCATGTCTCACCATTGAATAAATGCAGCTAGTGGCACACAGAGCAGAGTGGTAGGGAGAGGAAAACAGATTGCTGGTTTGGTTTAGGGGCAGTTAGGAAGAGCGGAAAAGGAAAACTGAGGTGGCTAGCAGGCTTGGAGATGCTGTGGAGGAGAGAGAAGGTGTGGCTGCTCGCTGCAGTTAATTGATGGAAGGGAAGGTTTTTAAGTTGACTGAGGCATGTGTTAATATGAGAAGGGTGTGTGTGGCTGCTTGGGGAATTTGAGGGGTGGGCTGGATGGAGGAATGAGAATAAGCAAGCTGCCAATTTCTGGTGATGTTTTTAATTCTGCAGCTTTTTATAGATAAAATACTCACTTATCCCTGCAGATGATGCTGAATAACCCTTTGTTTGCTGGGAATCCTCAGCTTCAAGAGCAAATGAGACAACAAATTCCAACTTTCCTTCAACAGGTAAGCCACCTTTTAGGTTTTATCACAATTCTTCCCTTAAAATTCTTAAAATCCCTTAAAATTCTTAATTCTAAATGGTTACAAAGGTTGCAAACCACTTTGTGGTTGCAAAGGTGTAGAACCATCATGCAACCACCCAAAGCATTTTACTGGTCTCCAGAGGTTCATGCATTTGCACATATTTCCATAATCAATTGTTACCAAATGATCATTTTGACATGTCTGCACATGTATGACGCATCACGTGTTTCTCTTAATAGATGCAGAACCCAGATACGTTATCTGCAATGTCAAATCCTAGAGCTATGCAAGCTTTGCTACAGATTCAGCAAGGTTTGCAGACTCTAGCAACAGAAGCACCAGGACTTATACCTGGGTAAGAGTTGGCAAGATTTTTTATTTTCATAGTCTGACTATAAGTTTGCACCCATACCATTAATGTACTGAGCTGCTTGCAATTTTAAGAGTTTGGCTTCTGAATTGGTAACTAATTTTTAGTAAGGAATAATTTGAGATTCTGATTTCATGAAGAATTTAATACTTGGGTGTTGCTTATTTGTGTTACAAATAAAATTCTTGTTTGTGGTAAACTGATGTATGAGTCTTACCTCTCGGGTATAAACAACTTGAATGTGTCTTCTATTTTGTGCAGATTTAACGCTGGAATAGCTGGATTAGGAAACTCTGGCTTAGGAAGTGCTGGACTAGGGAGCACTGGCCTTCCTACTGCAACAGCTGTGCCCCCTTCCGTCCCAAATGAAACGACAAGTCCAGCGTCAGGAACTGGTGAAACTGGACACCAGCAGTTTGTTCAGCAGATGTTGCAGGCTCTTGCTGGAGCCAACGCTCAGGTAACATTGTTATGTTTTTATTTCTCTCCTATTGTATCACCAAAATAAGCAATCAGCATATACAGCTTTCAAGTCTATTCACCGAGAAAGCTGCAAGTTTTTTGATGAAACATTACCTTTTGTCTTCTAAACCACTGTCCTATGTAAAGGGTCCTTTGCTCAAGATTCTGCTTAATCTTTGGGTTCTACAAGTATCCTAGGACCCTGACTACCTCCCTGAAAGATGTGTCCCCATTTCCCATGAGATGGCTGGACTTTCCTTCTTGCTGATGAAGTCCAAGTAGCATTGTATTCCTTGAGTTAAATATATAGGCATATCTGTAGTCTGGTCCCTATAACCTCAGCTTCAGGAACTAATTGAAATACTTGATAGCCCCAGTGAAAATATCAGTGTCAATGTCCTTAGAATAGGAGGTAACCTTTGAATCCTTATAACTTTGAAACCTGTCCATCCTTCAGCAACTGCTTCAACATTTTTCATTTCAGCCTGTTTAGAAAAATAGTTATTTGCAAAAAGACTGGCTGGGAAAAAATTCTAACTTTGGCTCCTTCTTTAGTTTTGCATGTTGGGTAGCCATGTTTGTACAGAAATAACACCAATTTATCTTTTTATCTTTTTAGCAATTACAAAATCCAGAAATCAGATTTCAGCAGCAACTGGAGCAGCTCAGTGCAATGGGCTTTTTGAACCGTGAAGCAAACCTACAAGCTCTAATAGCAACAGGAGGTGATATCAATGCAGCCATTGAAAGGCTACTGGGTTCCCAACCATCATAGCAACATTTCTGAAACTTGAAAAATGTAATTTATTTTTGATAACAGCTCTTAAATCTTTAAAATACCAGCTTTATTTCATTCTGACTCTTGGGAATTGTCTTGTTCTAACTAAACCCAGTCTGATGCATTAAGGTGGAGTGCAGTAGTTTTCTTCGAACAGTGGGAATCAATGCTTTTCACTTGGTGGTTGCATGCATCAAACACTTCTTCATTCTGCATTTATTGTGATTTTTTTAAAAAAGGAAATTGCTTATACAGTTGGGTGACCAGGTTTTATCTGACCTTCAACTGTCCAATTTAGTTGCTTCTTAAACATTAGCCTTTGATAGTAATTTATGTAGAATACAAATTAAAGAGGAAACTAATTGAAGCTATGATTTGTGGGTACATATTGCTTATTGTGACTTGGCATGTCTCTCTTGCTAGGAAAATGCTGTAAGATTTATACCACTTGATTTAGCTACTTTCTTGCTCTTTTGTCTCTATAAAAAAAAATGTATAACACGGAAACAATATTTTTCCAAGCAAATCTTCATCTCAAAGCCAGAATAAGTGAAAGACATGAGACACCGCCAATGGAGTAGAATCTTACAGCATCTTTAGCAAGTATCTTTTAGCAGAAGTGCTTTGGCAAATTCTTTTAAAATACTAGGATTGCTGACCTGATCTTTACAACTGTACAGAAACCTGCATTGTAACATTGTCTCAAATATTCACAAGGATTGATTGTAAATTACCTTCGTCTTTGTGCAGATTGAAGGGGCGCAGCCTTTTGCTCTGAAACTGCTTTTGCCTAAAGCTCTTTGGCTCCCCCTTGAGATTCTAACTTGCATTATGATTTGTAATTGGACGCATACTTTCACTGACACTGTCATGTGATATTCTAATTACTTTTAACCACCATGTAAAAATACTGTATATCTTTTGGGTTTTTATTGGTAGTTATTTCTCTTGTGCACAGGTAATAAATGAATTAAACTTCTTTGTGAGCAATTACTTGCAGTCATTTTATCCCTAGCGGCAGAAATTCAAGTCACCATATTAAAGGCTGGGACCATCTTTGTTCATCTTGCCCTTAACAGTAACTTGCATTTGGAGTTCTTTTCAATACGCTATGATGAAGATTATTGTCATAAAGCAGGCCTCCCTCACTGGTGTGAGCTCCTAACATTCTGCCAAACATTTTTTAAAACTGTTACTAAGGGCTCCATGTAGGCATTTCTGATGTTCTATACCAGCAGGTGTGTTCCTGAATCCTTCTTTGGAGACCCCTAAACCACAGGAAAGATGGTTTTTACTGGAACTCTTCTTGTAAGAATGATAAACATCATGAAGTGGCTCACTTAAGATGAAAAAAATCATGTAAAAAATGTAAATTACTCATTTTAACCTACATCCCTGCATCTAGGTTCATTTAATAGAAAAATGTGGAGTTGCATTTTAGGGTGTGCCTGTTATTATACCACAAGAGGGCACTCTTTATTTGAATTTTAGTGAGACTTGAGTAGTCAAAACATGAAGCAATTGTTATAATAGTAGCTGGGGCGAGTTAAATGTTCAGATTTCTCATTAATAAAAAATCTACCTTTGCTTCCATGAGGCAGGCTCAAGTGAAGCAAATGTTGTATCACCTCTAGGGTTTTTTATCCCTTCCCAATTTTACTTTGGTGACATGATGGCTCTACAAATGTGAGAATCTCTATTGCTTGAAGTATTGAGGTCATGTATTTCAATTTGTTTTAACTTGTTTTATGTGTGTTTCAAACAGCTGTATGCAGCTGGCTAAAAACATTTATTGCATAACTGGTTAGATTTTCACACTGGGTGGTATCCATTGCTAGTCACTCAAGTAGACCTGCTGGAATCAAGTAAGTTAAACCAATTGTATTTGGTCTACTTGAGTATGACTTATTTGGCTACCCCCCATTTCCCCAAAAGCAAATTAAAAGTGTGTGCTCTAGAAATTTCTTAATGTTCTATTGAAGTTAGTCATAGGCTGTAGACAGTGGTTAATTTCAGCTGGTAATGGAGCACAATTTCATGTCAAAGAACGTGGCTTGTAGATTAGAAATTGTGTACCTTATCAGAGTTGCAGTATCAGAGACTTTTCACACTTTGCCCTTGGAATACTTTAGAATTGTTGGAGGCAAAATAGTTATGGCTTAGAAACTTAAACACTTACTAAAGAGAAAAAATGCCAAAGTTCCTTTCATAGCTGACGATCAGTACAACTGATGATGGGATGATTCTAGAGTTAATATCTGTATATTATGAACATCTCTGTTGTTATGACTTGTGTGTGACTTGGTACAGTCATGATAATACTGACACACACACACACACACACACACACACACAGAGAGAGAGAGAGAGAGAGAGAACTAAAACTACATCCACATCCTTTGCTTTTAAACATCTGTCAGCTGCTATTTCCAGTTTTTGTGGAACTCTGCAATCTTAACTCATGGAGGTGGTAAACATGAGTCTACTGTCACTTTAACTGCAAGTGTTTTGACTTGTGCCACTTATTTTGCACATAACTCTGCTGTTGCTGCAGAACTAGAGACCATCCAAGCACTTCCCCAATTCCACCTTATTCTCCCATCTGTTCTGCTGCCAGTTTCCTACCACTGTAAGGATGAAAAATAGTAGTTGTTGCCAGCTCAAAAGGTTGTGGTTGTGTGTGTGTCTGTGTATATATATATATATATATATAGAGAGAGAGAGTCAGAAATAAGCCTTCCCTCATCCGACACGTGGAACTGTGCTTCCCTCTTCTGTTGTAGTTCCTGGAGTCAATTGAACTTTTTAGGTCAGTCTTAAGTGCTTTACAAAATCCTCACAACTCCAGCTTGTGTACAAAAGTTAAATATCATATGACTTAAAATGTCTTTTATTTTGTGCTCTTCACAAGGGGGGGGGGGAAGCCAATGCATAAAATTCTACTTCTTAATTAAAGAGAAATTGTAGGAGAGATGTCTTTGTTTTGAGATGGTATTGTAGTGCAGGAACCAACTTGGTACAATTAACAATTCAAGTTTTTAATATATTCTTCGATTTCAGATACAATTTCTGAAGCGGACTTTTCTAAACTGACAGTAATAGACTTTTCTGGGGGTGATGGAGGTTCGAGAGTATCAAACTGAGACTGGAGTAGAGCAGGTGGCATAAAATGTCCCTTTCTTTTCTCCAGCCGTTTAGCAATTAGGCTCATAGGGCCGGCTAAGTGGACAAAAAGGATATTTAGTGATGGAGGTGTCTCATGTTCCTCTAGGTGACCACAGTCACCACCAGTCCCTCTGTTCTCCAAAATGCATCTATACATTTTTTTCAGGGCTGAGCAGGCTAAAATTGCATTCTGTCCTGATGCTTGTTCCCTACAAAAAGGAAAAAAATATTATTATTTGCACACCTCAGTAAAATATTATGCACATTGTGATTAAGCTTCCTTAGGACCGAGTTTAAGGAACAGCCCAGCTAGTTTGCACTACCTTCAAACACATATAAAAAGGTAAAGGTACCCCTGCCCGTACGGGCCAGTCTTGACAGACTCTAGGGTTGTGCGCCCATCTCACTTAAGAGGCCGGGGGCCAGCGCTGTCCGGAGACACTTCCGGGTCACGTGGCCAGCGTGACAAAGCTGCATCTGGCAAGCCAGCGCAGCACACGGAAACGCCGTTTACCTTCCCGCCAGTAAGCGGTCCCTATTTATCTACTTGCACCCGGGGGTGCTTTCGAACTGCTAGGTTGGCAGGCGCTGGGACCGAGCAACGGGAGCGCACCCCACCGCAGGGATTCGAACCGCCGACCTTTCGATCGGCAAGCCCTAGGCGCTGAGGCTTTTACCCACAGCGCCACCCTCGTCCCCTCAAACACATAGAGTATTTCTGAATTCTCGCTCATGCAACAAACCCCCTGCATGTAGAAAGGAAGCTAGGGTAGAGTATAGTAGTTTTTCCACAAGCAGAAATAGTGACATGGGGGAGCATTTAGTCATGTATTCCCCCTCACATACACAAGTGGTATCATCCCCATTAGGGCTATGTTGTATGATCCTGTAATTAAGCCATTTACTGTCAGTTTGCTAGATTACACAAGAAGTTACTGCAGAACTAAGCTTTGATTCCAGCTCTCCAAGACCTCTAGCAGGGCTGGGGAACCTTTGGTCCTCCAGCTGTTGTTGGACCAGAACGTCCCTCATCCCTCATCAATGGCTGTGTTGGGTGGGACTGATGCGAACTGGAGGCCAACAACATTCAGAGGCCCAAAGGTTCCTTGTCTGCCTGCTGGCTTTCTAATAGTTTGCTCTCACTATAAGCAGTTAATGTGTGTTACAGAAATCTGTCCTAGTCATGGAAGCAGAGCTAAGTAAGGCATTTAAGACTGAGCTCTTGACTACTGGAAATCCTATTCAGCTATATAGTCTGAGGGGCTAGAAATCTATCTTTCAACAAAACTTAATGCGCTCCATACTCAAGCAACAGTTTTTGGCAATTGTGTGGGTTCTACAGCAGAATGCACAACACTGGTTTCAAGTTTCTTAAGATTCAGTAACTTTCATACCTCCTTAATATGTCATGCAGGTGGCAAAGCCATGGGATTCTGTCCTAAGAAACAAGACAGACAAAACAGACAGGCTTAAGCAAATTCTGCCATTTTACCTGAAATAACAACGCCTAATACTCTCAGGTTTTCTGCCAGAAGTACATCATAGCCTCTTCATATTAACAGCAATCACAAATCATCATCACCATAGCCACATCTGCTTCAATATGAATCTTTAGTGAGGGATTAACTTCTGCCTGCTAGTTCACTTGGCTCAAATGAGTATGGCAAATACAATCAAAATGATTGATCAGCTTCTCAACGTAATCCAATTTAAGCTTTATATTGCCTGCAGATTTCTTTGTAATTGCTCAGCATTAAAGCTTCACCTTTCTGTCTAGCTTGTGTTAGGACAAGTTTTATAAATGACAGCTCGAAAGTCTGCCGGGCTGGGAAGGAGGTGGGAGACTGTTCATTCACTATGAAGCGCACACCTGCCTTCCAGGCGGCTTTCATGCCACCAGTTCATTCATCAGAAAGCATCTGCTCCCTTCACCAGCATAAGCTTCGTAGTGTTGGCAAAGGCCAGAAAAGAGACACCTATAAAAGATGTTCTTAGGTGTATCCTATGAACTGTTATTTTGAGGGTGATACTGCTCCTTGCAATGACATCCTTAGTAAATCCTAAGTTTAGCCATGTGAAAATTGTATAGTAATGTGCACGAGAGATATGCTGGATGTAGCATAATCGTTTCATCCACTTACGCAAGGTAGCTATTTCCGTATACAGTATTAAGAAAATGGTTGCATTTTTGCGTGTTATAAAAACGATTGCAAAGGTGTAAGTGGAGTCTGCTTTTGGCCAGCCACATTCCAAAACAGTGGCTGATATTCATATGTTCAGTTTCCTTTAAAAAGTTGCCTGTGCTGGTATGTTATATAATATTTTTAGTTGATTTTCACTGGCAGTTCCTGTTAACTTGTGTACGTCGTTTGAAAAAGCACAGGCACTAACTGATATAAAGTGGAAGGAAGGAAGATCCACTGTGATGGATCTTTCTAGTTATTTCTAGTTGGTAAAAGTATCCTGAAAAGAGGGCAATTCACAGACAGTGTCTAGCAGTGTAGTCCAAATGGCTTCAAAGGAATTAAACCCAAAGAAGTAAGATTTATAGACCACGCCTTCGGAAACGGCTTCAGTGCCGGTGAGTCTTGGGGAGGACCGCTCCCCCTGCAAGCCCATTCTCCATCTTGGGCCTGGGGGCGGAACCCATACTCCACCCCAGCATATAAGGCTCCAAGGAGGCCTCGGGACATCGCTGCTGCCGCTCTGCCGTGAGTTTGTGGGGAGGGCTCCTCCCTCTGCAAGCCCATTCTCCATCTTGGGCCTGGGGGCGGAACCCATACTCCACCCCAGCATATAAGGCTCCAAGGAGGCCTCGGGACATCGCTGCTGCCGCTTTGCCGGTGAGTCTTGGGGAGGACCGCTCCCCCTGCAAGCCCATTCTCCATCTTGGGCCTGGGGGCGGAACCCATACTCCACCCCAGCATATAAGGCTCCAAGGAGGCCTCGGGACATCGCTGCTGCCGCTTTGCCGGTGAGTCTTGGGGAGGACCGCTCCCCCTGCAAGCCCATTCTCCATCTTGGGCCTGGGGGCGGGCCCCATACTCCACCCCAGCATATAAGGCTCCAAGGAGGCCTCGGGACATCGCTGCTGCCGCTTTGCCGGTGAGTCTTGGGGAGGACCGCTCCCCCTGCAAGCCCATTCTTCATCTTGGGCCTGGGGGCGGGCCCCATACTCCACCTCAGCATATAAGGCTCCAAGGAGGCCTCGGGACATTGCTGCTGCCGCTTTGCCGGTGAGTCTTGGGGAGGACCGCTCCCCCTGCAAGCCCATTCTCCATCTTGGGCCTGGGGGCGGGCCCATACTCCACCCCAGCATATAAGGCTCCAAGGAGGCCTCGGGACATTGCTGCTGCCGCTCTGCCGTGAGTTTGTGGGGAGGGCTCCTCCCTCTGCAAGCCCATTCTCCACCTTGGGCCCGGGGGGCGGGGCCCACACTCACCACCGCCACAACTTTAAGGACACTGGGGCTGCTGCAGCAAATTTTTAAAATGTTTTTATATATTTTAAAGTGTTTTAAAGGTGTTTTTACTTTTTATTTTGTTGTACCACCATAAACGGTGGTTTTATCTATGTATTTTTATTTTGTTTTGTTTTATTTTGGGTTGGGGTGGGATGGTTGTTGGGTGGGGTTGGGGTTGGTTTTGTTTTGGTGTAATTGTTTTTTGTTTGTTTGCTTTTCTATTTTGTAAATGGAGGCGAGTATGAGGCTTAGGATTGCTACCGTAGTGCGGCGAGGGAGGTATGGCGGTGGGGGCAGATCTCATAGGCGAAGGGGATCGAGATACGGATATGCTCGTACCCCTTCCAATCTGCGCCCCATCCCGAGAGACGAGGGTAGGGTGAGCAAGGATTACTCACCTCCGTCACTGGTGTTGTGCAACGCCAGGTCTATAGGCAACAAAACCGCCACCCTGCGAGATTTCTTGATCTCGCAGGGGGTCGACCTGGCTTGTGTGATGGAGACCTGGGTGCGCGAAGGGGATACTGTTACCTTACGAGAGATGGCGCCCCCGGGTTTCTCCGTCCTCCACCAGTCGCGGACTGTGGGCCGGGGGGGAGGGGTGGCATTGTTAATCCGGGAAGATTGTTCTTTCAGGGCTCTACCTTCGCCATCGATCCCCAGCATTGAATGTGTTGGCCTACTGTGGGGCTCCGAGGTGAGCTTGGCTGTCTGGCTGGTGTACCGGCCACCTAGCGCACCAGCAGCCACCCTGTCAGGCCTGCTGGAGGCGGTGGCCGGCTGGGCCTTGGAGTTCCCTAACCTATTGGTATTGGGGGACTTCAACATCCATGCTGATGCCACTCCCTCCTCACAGGCTCTGGACCTGGTGTCTTCCATGGCGACACTAGGGCTCTCCCAGTTTGTTTCGGGCCCCACACATCAAGCAGGCCACATGCTGGATTTGATCTTTGGCGTTGGTATAGATGTGATCATGTTTCCTTCGATGAAGGTGCCATGGTCTGATCACTACGCTCTGAAAGCCAGGATTGACGTTCCACCCCCACCCTGCTTAGGTGGCGAGCCGATTTGGGCTCGCCCGCAGAGGCTGATGGACCCTGACAGATTCCGTCAAGCCTTGCGGGACCTTACTCCCCCTGGCGACTCATTGACTGAGCTTGTTGAGGGCTGGAATACCCAGCTCCTGGCAGCCATCAATGAGATCGCACCTAAGCGCCCTCTGCGACCCCGCAGAAACCGGGCTCCCTGGTTTACCGAGGAGCTCCGGAAAATGAAGCGGGACCTCAGACGGCTAGAGCGAGTATGGCGGGGTGCCCGTGACGGAGCTTCAAGAACATCTTATAGGGTTTTTATGAAAACCTATGAGATGGCAGTGAAGGCCGCTAAGAAGTCTTACTTCTCGGCCTCCATTGCATCCGCCAGCTCTCGCCCGGCGCAATTATTTAGTATAATTCGGTCTTTAACGTCCGTCGAAGGACAGCCAAATTTAAATAACAATTTGACACACAGCTGTGAGGCATTTGCGAGCTTTTTTGTGGAGAAGGTCCTGTTGCTCCGCCATGACCTCCCTGCCAATTTGGATACAATAAAGGAACTGGAGGCCCCTCGACTGTCCTCGGCTCCAGTATTGGACCACTTTGACCGGATATCCCCAGCCGATGTGGACAGACTCCTCCGAGCTGGAAAGCCCACCACTTGTCCTCTCGACCCGTGCCCGTCCTGGCTGATTAGAGCGTGTCCAGACGAGGTGCGGGCCCCCCTGGGTGATATCATCAATTTGTCCCTTGGCACCGGGACATTCCCAGGGGAACTGAAGGAGGCAGTGGTGCGCCCGCTTTTAAAGAAAACATCATTAGATCCCTTAGATCTATCCAATTACCACCCGGTTTCGAACCTTCCATTCCTGGGTAAGGTGATTGAGAGAGCGGTTGTGGAACAGCTTGGTAGGTTTCTGGATGAAACATCGGCTCTGGATCCATTCCAGTCCGGCTTCCGCGCTGGTCATGGGACTGAGACGGCTCTGGTCACCCTAACAGATGATCTCCGCAGGCAGCTGGATCGAGGCGGGTCGGGGCTGCTGATTCTTCTAGACCTGTCAGCAGCCTTCGACATGGTCGATCACGAACTCCTGGACCACCGCCTTGCCGACGTGGGGATCCAGGGCACAGTCCTTCAATGGCTGCGCTCGTTTCTCTCTGGTCGGGGACAGAGGGTGGCGCTTGGGGGGGAATTGTCATCCCGCCACTCCTTGGTGTGTGGAGTGCCCCAGGGTGCGATACTCTCCCCAATGCTTTTTAACATCTTTATGCGCCCCCTTGCCCAGCTTGTCCGGAGTTTTGGGCTGGGCTGCCATCAGTATGCTGATGACACCCAACTCTATCTGTTGATGGATGGCTATCCTGACTCGGCCCCAGACACACTGATCAGATGCTTGGAAGCTGTGGCTGGATGGTTACGTGGGAGCCGGTTGAAGTTAAATCCCTCGAAGACAGAGGTCCTCTGGCTGGGACGGGACGATATGAGATTGAGGGGGCAACTCCCATCTCTTGCGGGGGTGCAATTAGTGCCAGCACCGTCCGTTAAGAGTTTGGGTGTAATCTCCGATACCTCCCTCTCCATGGAGGCGCAGATTGCAGCTATAACAAAGGCGGCATTTTTTCATCTCCGCCAAGCTAAGCAGTTGGCTCCTTACCTCTCTCGCCCTGACCTAGCCACTGTGATCCACGCGACGGTCACCTCCAGACTGGATTATTATAACTCGCTCTACGTGGGGCTGCCCTTGAGACTGACGCAGAAACTCCAGTGGGTGCAGAATGCCGCAGCAAGACTCCTTACGGGGTCTTCGCTGCGAGATCACATTCATCCGGTGCTATACCAGCTGCACTGGCTCCCGGTGGAGTACAGGATCAGGTTTAAGGTGCTGGTTTTAACCTTCAAAGCCCTATACGGCCTAGGACCCTCGTACCTACGGGACCGCCTCTCCTGGTATGCCCCACAGAGGAACTTACGGTCTTCAAATAAAAACATCTTGAAGGTCCCAGGCCACAGAGAGGTTAGGCTGGCCTCAACTAGAGCCAGAGCTTTTTCGGTTGCGGCTCCAACCTGGTGGAACGCTCTGTCGCAAGAGACAAGGGCCCTGCAGGACTTGACATCTTTCCGCAGGGCCTGCAAGACAGAGCTGTTCCACCAGGCCTTTGGTCAGGGCGCAGCCTGACTCCCTCCTTTGGCAATCTTTACAAAACTTTAGTTTATGGTTGCCATCAATTTGTATTTTTATTAATTTTTATAATGTTTTTATAATGTTGCATTGTTTTAGTGTTGTTAGCCGCCCTGAGCCCGGCTTCGGCTGGGGAGGGCGGGATATAAATAAAATTTATTATTATTATTATTATTATTATTATTATTATTATTATTATTAGTGAGAACATTTTTACTTCACTGGGTTTGCACTTGTGTAATAAGTGGGTGTTTTTGTCTGCGGACACAGCTCATCCAACCAAAGCGAGGCTGCAATCCTATTCACTAGGGGTAGCCAATGTGACTACAACTTCCACCACCCCTGATCATTGACCAAGAAACATCTGGAGGGCATCACATTGGCTACTCCTGCTATACACACCTGGGGAAGTAACACCACTTGTTTCTGAGTTAAATGTGCATAAGATTATGCTGTCAATAAATTTTAAAATCCTACTGATTACAATGACAGAGTTAAACATATGCAATTATTGCACTGGTAGAAGTTAAGAATTTTTATAACCAACTAAATCACTGCACATGCGGAACAATTTCCACAACTTCAGTGAAACTTGCCTTCCCTCTACTTCCTCTGTGCACCCCCACAAATCTCTGTGTTTCCCCTAGCCTCCCAGAGCAGATTGGGGAGGGGTGTGGGTGGCATGCAAGGGCAGGAGAACGTGGCTCATGGAAGTCATTTCGCGTGCACAGCAATTTAGCTGGATGCAACCCAGAGTTGTATAAGAGGAAAAACACGGCTCACCTATTCAAATGTAGCCGGCATGTTTACTCAGAAGTAAGTCTCCCTGTGTTCAGTGGAGCTCATTTCCAAGTTAAGTGTGCACAGGATTGCAGCCTCAATTCAACAGGCAAAAGAAAAAGAGAGTTCTTGGTCTACTGGCACAGCAGCAATCCATCAGAGCCCAAGTAACCTGCAGATTATGGTTGACTGGGATGTGGGATACAGAGGCTTCCTGTTTCCCCTAATTGTAAACACTTTGCTTGTTCACAGGCAGCTGAGAGGGGAAGATGAGGCTTCTCTGTCTATAGATGCTGTATTCATGATGCATAGTGAGTGATGGTTACATGAAAAAGGACAATGGTGTGTGCGCATGTGTCCATGCAGCTACTCTGCAATCCATTTAACTGGGTTTGCTGTTTCAAAGAGTTATTTGGCTTCTGGAATATATGCCATACCTGGTCATTCAGAGGTATTCCTGCGGCCATTTTCTTTTTGTTTTCTTCTGGATGATAGTTGTCGCCATCATAGAATTTCCATCCGAGCTAAATAGGAATTATAATTAGGGATTACTTCATCTTAGTTTTGCAGCAACAAATCTTAGCAAACACACAATAAGGATTACACAATCCTTATGTCACAAAACGAGTCACCATTTATATCGGCCTTTCTCAACGTTAGGTCTCTAGAAGTTGTAGGACTCCTATCATCCCTGACCGCTGGTCCTGCTAGCAAGGGATGACGGGAGGTGTATTCCAGCAACATCTGGGAGACCCAGGTTGAGAGAGGCTGATTTACAGTCCTGGAAAAAGAAAGTGCACATTCCCTTCCAGGCAACCTCCCAGGGTGGGCAGGGCTAAAGGCAGAAAAGGGTGGAGCAGCTGATGTAAATTATGCCTTTGCACAGTCGGCTGGTTTGTATGCACACACACTCAGCCCTCTCTGCATATCCAGGCGGAGTTACAGGGCATATTCCAGCCAGGCCAAAACATTCAAGGAGAGTGGAGTGGCTGGGGAAAGGGTGTGCCTTGCAGGGAGTCCCAAGGGTCAGGCAGGGGCTGTACTTTGCCCCTGGGTCTGAGGTCCTTCACCCCTTCATAAACATTTGGAAAGCGCAGCAACAGACAATGTACCCATGTATGAAAAGTAATATATCAACGGTACCTTATCTCCCAGCTGGGAGCCCACAGTTGATCTGCAAAACAACACGGAGAAGTATAAGTTCTGTATCTGGAGAATAAATTCACTAGATAAAATCAACAGTCAATTCTGTTATCCTGCTTATAAATGCCAGAGGTGTTTAAAATCTAAATCTAAAGTGCAAACTCTCAAGTGGGAGAATTATGCTGGTTAACTGGAGATAAACGTATAAGATATAAGTTAAAAATGAGTAATATATGTAAGTGGGTGACTCACAGAAACTTCACTTCAATTAGCCTAACTGAAGTTACTATTCTAAACAAATGCAAATGTCCCAGCTGAAACAGAAATGAGTGTAAAATGCAAATTATTATTATTATTATTATTATTATTATTATTATTTATTATTTATTAAAGTTGTATACAGCCCTATAACCATAGATCTCAGAGCAGTTCATACGATGCTGGCAGAATATAGGAGCTGACCAGGTCTCCTCATAAGGCACCGGAATCATCTTGCTCCCCCTTCCTGATGGAGAAGAAGAATGAACTAGTCCTGAGATGTGCTACTTGTGAGGTCTGGAGAGAGCTAGAAACACAGAAATGGCAGTAGAAGTGAAAAGCTGAGCTGATACAAAGTTTGTGAAAGTCATGGGTGGGATGCTAGAATGCAGAAAACACAACAGAAATAATTCATCATAAAGCAAGGTATTTGCATCTACCGCAGTGCTATTTTTCTAGAAAAAGAGATGCCGGAACTCGCCATGAATGCCTCCTTCATTCTCTTATAATGGCAATGGTGCCAGAACTGAGTTCTGGTAACAGATAGGTAGCCGTGTTGGTCTGCCATAGTCAAAACAAAAAAAAATTCCTTCCAGTAACACCTTAAAGACCAACTAAGTTAGTTCTTGGTATGAGCTTTCGTGTGCATGCACACTTCTGAAGAATTATGCTGGTTAACTGGAGATAAACGTATAAGATATAAGTTACAAATGAGTAATATATGTAAGTGGGTGACTCACAGAAACTTCACTTCAATTAGCCTAACTAACTGAAGAAGTGTGCATGCACACGAAAGCTCATACCAAGAACTAATTTAGTTGGTCTTTAAGGTGCTACTGGAAGGAATTTTTTTTGTTTTGAGTTCTGGTAAGTTTCCCCTGGAAAAAAAAACCCCTTCAGCTAGGCAACTTATGTTCAAGTTGAAGACCTGGGAAGCTTTCTGTCCCTGTAGCAATGTTTGAAATGTAAAGGCAGTGATTGCTAACCAAGGTCAATGAGCCACATTTGGCTCTCCAGAAGGTTTTTTAGGTTCCCCCCAAAAGTCATATTTTAAATTAAATTTATTTATCACTCTTGCCAGTCGCCAGCTATGATGCCATGATGCCCCCCTTCCATTTTTTTGCCTCTCTGCCCCCACCACTCCCAGCATGAGAGATGTACAATCATGGCTGATCTGTGGAACAAAGAAGCCAGTAATTGTAATCTTGATTCTATCACAATCTCCCCAGGTGGCCTTAAAACAAGCCATATATTTCCAGCCTCAGCCCCAATCTATATCATGGGGAAAATAAGAGTGACCGACCTCACAAGGTTCTTGTAAGGCACACTGACATAATTTCTGTGAAGTTCTTCAAACACTCAAAAACACTGAATAAATGCTGCGAATTGTTATTAGAATAGATATCCATCCCACCACTGCAAGTTTGTGAGGAAATATTATAAATTGCAGCACCTCTGGTAAACTTCAAAGTCTCCACATCTTTTCCCTCTCCCCGCCACCCAAAAACAGCAGCCTGTCTTTCTAGTTCATACCACTTTGCATGAGGCTCCCAGCAATATTTTCAACCGTAACAAACCAATTTCAATTTTCTCATCGCTGAAGCACAGAAAGAATAATGTACGTTGTCACACACAGACCCAAAAGCTGAGACAGGCGAGTCAAGACGCTTCACAGAGAGACTGAACATCTGAAGAGTCTTCAGGCTGAAGTCCTATAAACACACTTGGGAATAAACTCCACTGTAACTAAGGGAGGAAACTTTCTAAGGGGGGAAAATGCATAGGATTGGGTGCAAGCTAGCCAGTTTTCGGGTTGGTGCTTAATCCTGAACTAAAATAGAGCAGGAGCTAGAGTGCTGGAGACAGAGGTAACTTGGGTTCAAATTCTGTTGTAGGTGTGAAGCTCACTGGGTAGTCGAGGCCTGTCTTATACCGAGACAAGCCATCGGTCCATGTAGTTTAGTACTGTCTGCACTGAGTGGCAATGGCTCTCCGGAGTTCAGACTTCTGTCTTTTCCAGCTGTACCTGGAGATTTCAGGGATTGAACCTGGGAGCTTCTGAATGAAAAGCTTGTGCTGCACCACAGTCACCCCCATAACCTCAAAGAATTGTCGTTCTTGGTGTCTGCATTCATGCCTATGGGATCTGTGCTAGAGATTTCTAAAAACTAGCACTCTTTCCCAGAATGGTGAGGTACCCTTACATTAAATGGAAGGGTAAGCACTTTCCTTCCCAGTTCTAACCAGTGTGCGGTAGCACATTTTCTGCAACAGTATATTCCTGTGAAGATCACTGTGTGGCTTTGGGAAAGTGTCTCTCAGTTGAACCAAACTCAGAGGCATGTTGTAAGGGTAAAAGCAGGAAGGAGACTATGTATTCTGATGAGATACAAATGCTAAACAAACAAACAAACAAACAAACAAACAAACAAACAAACAATATTGTCTTTTTTGACACTCTTTAGTGAAAACCTGATGACTGTATCTGCATCATTGAGGCTGCTATACACGCTTACCTGGGAGCAAGGACCACAGAATTCCCTGATTATACATGCATAGGACTGTGCTGTTAAGTGACCGACACTCTTGGTGTGTGCAAATTGCCACAGATAGAGGATATTGCCTCTGATCTCCTTCAACATGCCCTGTATAAGCCAATCAAAGGTTAGATCTCTGTCCCCAATTCTACATAATGGGAGCTTGAACAATGCAAAGTGTCAGTGCCGTTATCAGGCTATGATCATTTATAGTCTTCCTTTTGCTACTGCGGTGAACCAAACTTTTTTCAAGAGGTTGCCGTGTCTTCTGAAGTGGAATACTTAACCTAGGCAATGACATGATTTGTACAATAGTTGTTCTTTTGTCTGTATGTTGAATAGGCTGGTCCTTAAGACTCAATGAGGCAATGCCCCACCAATGTCAGCCAGCCTCCACTTCCTCCTTACATCCAGCCCAGGGTACGGCACTGCCTGACATCTGCTTTAGCTGAATTTTGCTTTAGCTGACATTCCCGCATTGCAGGGGTTGGACTAAATGACCCTTGGGGTCCCTGCCAACTCTACAATTCCATGATTCTTAGATTCCTAATCTCAGCGCTGCCTTTGCATAACTCAGCTGGGAGGTGGATGTGTGCAAAATTAGAATTTGTTGGCTCTGCCTGTTATTGGCCAAACTCAGCCTACTGCTCCTCTCTCTGCTTTCTGCCCTACCAGCCACCACTATCAATAATAATAATAATAATAATAATAATAATAATAATAATAATAATTTATTTATACCCCGCCCATCTGGCTGGGCTTCCCCAGCCACTCTGGGTGGCTTCCAACAAAATATTAAAATATCGTAATACGTCAAACATTAAAAGCTTCCCTAAACAGGGCTGCCTTCAGATGTCTTCTAAAAGTCTGGTAGTTGTTTATCTCTTTGACATCTGGTGGGAGGGCGTTGCAGGGCGCCACTACCGAGAAGGCCCTCTGCCTGGTTCCCTGTAACTTGGCTTCTTGCAGTGAGGGAACCGCCAGAAGGCCCTCAGCACTGGACCTCAGTTTCCGGGTAGTACATATGCTTCAAGATTTGACGAGATCTGTAAAATCCTATAGTTCCATAGCTGTGTAACTGTGAATGGCCATGCCAATAGCCAATGGGTTTCAACACATGAACATGACTGAGGGGAGCTATATGCTTCGTCTACCCTATTCTGGTGTATGCTTCAATAGGACTAGCATTGCCCTGCAGAATCAGTACAACACGGAGGATTGCTACAGGGCTTGCATCAACTTTCAGTACTAAAGGTCAACGAAGCAAGTCTCAGTTCCATGCAAGCTTACATTCTCTTCCCACTGAGCCCTGCACTTTCTTTTATTCTTTGTGAAGTATTTGGCCAGCCTTGCTTTGAGGAGATCCCAAAACAAACAGCAATTATTCACATTTAGTAAATAACTCTATATATACAAACTGATGTACAAAGAGTTGCTCCTGCAAAGCAACACTCTCTCAACGTGCAATTTGAACAGTACAATTATGGCAAGAAGGCCTATTAAAATACATACTGTCTCTTCCAAAGTAATATTTGGTAATAGGTTATCAGATTAGTTTTGACATGCATGTGTGGGTGTTGAACACGCCCACAAGGGTTTCTTCATGCAGCATGGAATTAAGTTTTCACATCACAAGCTCCCCAACATACTCTGGGGGAAAGAAAGCTGCTTTAAGTGCACATATCAAAAGCATGCAGATATGCGAGTTCATTTGGTGGTATCTGAGCTCGCTATGGAACAACGACTAGACCTCTGCAATCAAAACATTTTTCACTGTCATTCTAAATGCTGTTGTTTTAGCCTGTGATGTTGCCAGCACCACATAATGTGTTTTGCCATCTTGTGCTAGCAAAGCTGGAGGAACACCCAGTTTCCACACACAGATTATCACTATCCATTAATTAACTGATTAAAACATTGCATTATTGAAATGTAGGCGATAGTCTGAAAATAAGGAGTGAGGGCCTTATGATTTCCAGTGGAATCTTACACATCTACGAAAAAGGTCATTGTGTTCCTTGTAGTTTATTCATAGGAAACTGTGCATAGGATTGCAGGCGCCTTCATTGGACTACCTAATCAATCCTGCCAGCCTACCATTTCCACTCCTGGAAGAGTATGCATAATTATGGCCTGAATCTATAGGTTGCCCTTCAGAGAGTTCTGGGGACCTGATTCTGGATTCATCTCTGCCTCAGAGTAACTCTCAGGACTGCTGGGCACGCAGACACTTCACCACAGCAAGGGGAACACCATGATTGTTGCAGGGCTTACAACAAAATCCCTCCCCACAAATGGCTGCGTGCCACTGTTGTAAATAAAAATATGCCCTTTTCCCTTATGGGGTATCCAAGAGCCCATATAGAGTCCTTACATAGGTTCCCTATTGGTAGGAGAAAATAACAGGGGCCAACCAGAGAATATTGAGAGGCAAAGCAGCTAGTAAGCTTGATCTTTATTGATCTGTTGCAACAGGGTACTCCCCTCACACGCAGGAGAGGAAGAGGACCCAGAAAGATGGTGTGCAAGACCTTATAAAGACTTTTGAAATTCCCATTCTCTAGATCAAGACCACCCCCAGAAACATTATGCATACATCACAGAAGGGGTGTATCCTAAGACCACCCCTCAGATACATCCCACCTACATCACAGAAATTTAAATGTTGTTTTTCTCCTGTCACAGTTTATCTCCTGTCTGGCAAGTTACTTGATTGGATTGCCTGGGGAGCCTGGCCATTCTTTTGTAGTGGTAAAATACTTATTTCCTGGGCCAGGTCACAGGCTCACACCTTATTCAAACAGACATATCCTTGAGACAGGATTTGTGAGGAAAGAGACAATGGGGAGGCTTTTCCAGTTTAACCTTGCAGAGAAAGGATTTGGTCAGTTTAGGAATCAAAATGGTTCCAGGTTGGTCTTCCTGTGTTGATCTATGTATGTGCAGTTATGAACATTACCATATATAAAATTCCTATCACACCACCATTTTTCCTGACCAAGGCTCTGTGGCTTTAACCTGACAGGCAGATGTTCAAGAGGTATGGCTTCCCTAGCATGGAGTTGCAGCGAGACAGAAAAGCTGTCATTTTTGGCCTGTCCAGTAACATAGCCTCTGTCAGTATATATTTTAATGGCTCCCCTTAAAAGCCACGGTGCTTGATATAAACCCACATTGGACATTCCCTAGAGTAAGAATGATTAGAATAGGGTTTGGATTGAAACAAAAACAACTTTAGTAGCTACTCTGTTTTAGAAGGGGGGACATTGCGGTCTATGGAAGAACAAACAAGGAGGGGCATTTGGGAAAGAGGCTCATATAGCCTTCCCACACAATGAAGCAACAATAATTGTGAAATGAATTGAGATGTCTATGCTAAATACATATGCAAAGAGTGAGGTATGATGTAATGCGGCAGTTAAGTGTGTGTAATCCAGGAGCCTTCTGTTTAACTGCAAGACATTTTATGTAAATATATGAGAATTCAGTGCACAAATTTTAATGGGCAGGATTCAACTAATGAGTCCTGTCCGCCAAAGTCCTGCACACAAGGACCTCCGCTTGCACAATGAGGCTTTTCCCTCCCTCGTGTTCCCCAAATGTTTTGTGGGATTTCAGGAGAATCCTCAGAAGAGCCCACAGGTGGAGAGGAGGGCGGATCATGACATTTGGCAAGCCAAAACGCTCATCCTGATGGAACCATCAGCCTAGCACAATGTGGAATTCCTCCCTGTGCCATTTATTTGGGAAAGGGCAGAACAGCAGCAGTTTTTAGCATGGCTGACAAATCAAGGTATCTGCAACTATATGAATCCAGCTATTTCTTGTGATCACCCACAAAGCCCCTGCTTCATGTTTCCCCGCAGGTATGGTGAGTGGGCCCAAGAGACAAAGCCTTTTCTGTGGTAGCACCAATACAGTAGAACAGACTGGCAAACATGACTGGATGCCTGGATATATCCTCTGTTCTCCTGCAACCAATGCCCTAGCCAGGGCTGGTTTACCATCTACGTCCCCTTCCAACTACAGCAGCATTCATAGCTACAGCCGCAGAACATGTGCGCCTTCTTGTTCCTCTCAGTCTGGCTGGGTACTGTGTGGGCTGCTTTGCTCTGGCAGCACTGCTGAGAAAGTGGAGTGAAAATGCTGACACGTTCTTGCAGGAGAGCAGAGGGAGAGTCTTGCACCCATTTAAACTAGGTTAATTATGAGTTAAAAGACATGCTGGCGGTCACTACTGCCTGAGCAAGAGAACTGCTGTGGGGAATGGAAGCTGTGCTCATCCAGTGAATTTTCTTGAGGTAAAGTGCTTATGGGGCTGCTGTGAGAGGTGGGGTTTGGGTGGGAGGGCAAAGTACAGAAGATGGCTAAGAATGAAGTTTTTCTCCTCCCATCAAGAAAGCTCTGAAGTAAGGCAATCACTGATGCCAATGAGCTTCTGAAGCTGGCTAAAGACAGATATGCTCTATGTTTGCTATTAATATGGAACTTCTGATGCAGCACTGGTTCAGAGTAGATGGCATTTTAATGTGCTGATTTTTATAAAAAAATATCTTTGTACTGCTGTGAACGGCTCTAGAATGACTGATGAAGAGCAGTATAGAAGTAGTTTTAAAAAACAAAACCAGACAAGATTTTTAAGATTTCAAATTGGTAACCTGGCAACTTCCCCAACTCCCGCCAGCTGAGAATGCATAGGCAGTTCTTTCCCACAGTTTGTCAACTCAAATCCTTCTTCCAGGGCAACAGCTGTAATTAAAATATATTCCAAACCGGTTTTTAATCTCCAGCTGGGGGAAAAAACCCAATAATTAGCCGGCTCTTCTATTCACACACCTTTGTTTATGTTTTAAATGGCCCCATTCCTGTTATTTCAGAGCAAAAGAAAAGTGAAAAGGACTTTGCTCAGTTAGCAAGCAGGCATTTGACCCCTTCTTCTTTCCTTGCTCATCCATTTCCTTCAGCTGCTCATTCCAGAGGGCACAAATCTCCCCGTGCATGGAACTCACACACGTGTCCTGCGTTGCTGGGCATCCCCTCCAGCGTCAGCTCCTACACGAGCGTGAACCCAGCAAGACAAGGCACGTGGGGACGGGGGAACACGGGAGCTTGGCGGCACATTTGTCTCCGCGCCTCGCCTCTTGCGCTTCCACACTGTTGCAAACCCCCCCCCCCCGGGGACCTGAAGGCGAAGGTCGGGGAAGGAGAACCACGCTGTCAACATAGAGAAGAGACCTTTCAGAGCAAAGCTGCGAGAGGGAAGTTCTCGGAGACCCGGATGAGGAGGAGGAAGGAGGCGGCGAAACGAGCCTCTCCTCCTCCTCCTCCTCTCTCCCGCGCCCCTCGCCGCCCCAGCCCCTGCCGCCCCAGCCCCCTCGGCCTCTACCTACTTCCCGGAGCCGCTCACTCCCATGACCACCAGCTGCAGCGCCATCACGCCCAGGCGGCTCCACTCCGGCTCCCCGGCCGCCTGTTCTGCTTTGCGCGGCCCCGCCTCGCCGCCTGCCCCGCCCCGCGAACCTGGCGGGCGGCTCCGCGGGCGAAGTGCACGGGGCGCCGCGCGCGAAACGCGTCCGCTTCAGGCAGCGCCTCAGGTGGACTCGAAGGGGCTCCGCCTGGGTGTTCGTGGCTCCGCTTTCCTGGGGCGGAGGGGGGGGTACATCTTGCCCTTCCTCACAGCAGCCAATTTCTAGGGGTCCCTTCGGCCGCCCCAATAAAATATTTGAGGGACCAGCTTACCTCCCCCCCCCCATATTTTATTCAAGTGGACCTCCCTGCCCCTCCTCGAAAGGAAGGATGGCTACCTGCCGTCTACGGTTGCCCAAAGGGTGCCAAGGCCTTAATATTAATACTATGATGTAATAATAATAATAATAATAATAATTCTATTATTTATACCCCGCCCACCTGGCTGGGTTTCCCCCAGCAGCTCCTGGCGGCTTACAGCATATATAAAACATAGCAAAATATCAAACATTAAAAACCGCCCAATAACAGGGCTGCAAAAATTTCTCTCCACCCTCTAAACAAGCCATCAATGCAACCTCAGCAACCATTGCAATTACAGTGGTACCTCAGGTTACGGGCGCTTCAGGTTACAGACTCCGCTAACCCAGAAATAGTACCTCAGGTTAAGAACTTTGCTTCAGGGTGAGAACAGAAATCACACGGCGGCAGTGAGAGGCCCCATTAGCTACAGTGGTGCTTCAGGTTAAGAACAGTTTCAGGTTACGAACGGACGTCCGGAACAAATTAAGTTCTTAACCTGAGGTACCACTGTATAGGTAAACACAAGACTGGATTAAGGAATAGCTGTAGAGCATGAGACTTCTTGTCAGGATTGCCCCACATTGGGCAGAAGATTCCTGCATTGCAGGGGATTGGATGAAATTACCTTTGTGGTCCCTTCCAAGTCTATGATTCTAAGGTGGTTGGGGGCCCTGGATGGGGCAGCCTGTGATTCCCCTCTCCCTTCCCTGTTGAACCCCAGCTCTCCTCAGCCCCAGCGAGGGAAAGGGTCCAGTTTTGGTCTGGCATGAGTCTCAATGGGCCATGAGGCCTTTTCCCCCTAGTCACTCGCCACACACCATACCTATGAAGTAGAGGAGGTATGGACCAGACTGGATCGACTGCAGAACAGGATTGGAGCACAAAGCTGCCTGAAAGTCACCGCCCATCAACTGAAGCCTGCCCAGCAGTGTAAAGTCCCAGCGATCATCATCTGACAACAGGTGATTGAGAAGTGGGTGGCCTCGCCCCACCCACCTACCTGTCAAATGAGCTTGGGAGAGGTAAGGGAGATAAGGATCTGGCCTGCTGGCATCTGGAGGACCTCAAGGTCTCCATCCCTCCTATACTAGGGACATAATCCTACCCACTTTGGAGCCCCTTGAGCGCAGAGGAAAAAACCCAGTATCAGTTGAAGAAGGAGACATTTTGCAGTAGTTTCATATGTTAAGTTGGAATCATTACCCTATGACAAAATAAAAACTAGGAGTGCAACACTGACAAAAGAGTATTCCAAGACTGGCTGCTAAAACATATATTTTTTTAAGTTGTTTTCTCCAACCTGGTGCCCTCCAGATGTTTTGTTTGACTACAACTCCCATCAGCCCCAGCCACCATTTAATAATAATAATAATAATAATAATAATAATAATAATAATAATAATAATATATTTATACCCCACCCATCTGGCTGGGCATCTCCAGCCACTCTGGGTGGCTTCCAGCCAAATATTAAAATACAGTAATATTTATGTACATTCCAAAACATGAAGACAGCACCAGGTGAAGGCTGCTTTAAGGCTTGACCACAGAGTAATTACTGTTAGAAGATTATTTGCTTTTGTTGCACGGATTATATTGCAGGGCAGTAATATATTTCAAATGGAAGGGAAATGGAAGAGATTAAGACATTGACTCATTTTATGCATGAAATCATTCATGTAGTGTTAAATTATACTCACAACTATATTTATATTAAGATGCAATTTTTAATAATATCAAAAGTAAGAGTGAATTTTAATTACTTTTCTTATAATTTCTACAGTTTGTGGTTTCTTATATACAGTTTCTTACAATTTCCACAGTTGCCTATCATTTCCACCGTTTATTAGGATTATATGCAGGTTTATCTAGGAACAGCTGCATATCACCCTAAGAATAGAACATATCCTCTCTCTGTCAATACTGCACTCCTGATCAAATTTGCAGGAAATGAACTTCAGTGGAAGATTTAAAGCAAGCTCATAATTTTCCCCCATTTGGATGATGCTCAGGCAATAGCTGGAGAAAATTTAATTTTGCTGCCTTGATGACAAAGCACCTCCCTTTTGTTTCCAGACTTGCTTGTGATAATACCTGGGGCTTGGTTTTTTAAAAACCTTGGATTGAAATGGAATGCTTATCTGTATATTTATTCATGAAGTCAAAGCCAACTTTGGATAATTTTTTGGACACTGTACTATGGTCATAGATAGGCAAATGAAGTATCAAATTAAAGCACAGAACAAGATTTGAAGAAAAATAATAGAGACCTTGTGAGGGAACATAGCAGTCCAGATGACCACTGGCTGTCAATGTCCTGTGCCACTTGAAGTTGCATTAAAAAAATTATATTGAAGTAAAAACAGCTTTTTTGAAATAAAAAAAGTTGACACTGCCCTTCCTAAACAGTTCAGCCTCCACAATCTCTCCTCCAGATTGATTTTCTTTTCCAACTTTCACCCACTCCCAGTCTCCATGAAATTCAGAAAAAAAGCAAAACAAAAGCAAGCAGCTGTTGCATGATATCCAGTACATTTAAAGAAATATGTTATGGAGCTTCCTAATCTACATCGGGGGCAAGGTTGTAAAGGGGAGGCAGTAACTAAGTGACAGGAATTAAGAATGAAAATGAAAAAATGGATCTCCCAGCAAACACCTGATCACGTAATGTGCTCTTTTTAATGCACTCCAGCACAGAAGAAGACACAAAGTTGGTGGCAACATTTTAATTTGCTTATGGCACCTCAACCCTTTAGGCTGGCCTTGGCCATGGGCATCCTAGGCACTCTGCAGAAGCTTAGTAGGAAAGGAAGAACTCTCAGGTGGTTGGAACCTCAGTTTTTTAGGGTCTGCTATATTTTCTATAGGGATGCGGGTGGCGCTGTGGGTTAAACCACAGAGCCTAGGACTTGCTGATCAGAAGGTTGGCGGTTCGAATCCCTGCGACGGGGTGAGCTCCCGTTGCTCGGTCCCTGCTCCTGCCAACCTAGCAGTTCGAAAGCACTTCAAAGTGCAAGTAGATAAATAGGTACCACTCCGACGGGAAGGTAAATGGCGTTTCCGTGCGCTGCTCTGGTTCGCCAGAAGTGGCTTAGTCATGCTGGCCACATGACCCGGAAGCTATACGCCGGCTCCCTTGGCCAATAAAGCGAGATGAGCGCCGCAACCCCAGAGTCGGCCACGATTGGACCTAATGGTGTTTCCTGCTTGGCAGGGGGTTGGACTCGATGGCCCTTGTGGTCTATTCCAACTCTATGTTTCTATGATTCTAATGGTCAGGGGTCCCTTTACCTTTACCTATATTTTCTATATAAGAACAAGCATTTGTCCAAAGAGTCAAGTCTTGGAATTTGCTGCTGAGCAGTCTTCAGCCTGAAACAATACTGATAGTCTAATTTTGCATGAACATATCTAACATAGATCTGATGTCTGGACTGGCTTTCAGTTTAGTCACCTTCATTGAAGCCATCACTGACTTCAGGCACTCTTTAATGAAAGCCATAGCTCCTCCTGGATCTCATAATAGTAAGATAAATAGTGTGAGTGTTATCAGCATAATAATGGCACTTGTTTAAAACCACGAGAGACAACATTATCTCTGGAGGCAGCCAGCAGGATAATTCTCAGGAGGAGCAATGAAAGTGCCTGCCATGTAGGCGTGGAACCACTGCAAATTGGAGCCCTGGCTACCAACCCACAGAGATGTATTTGTTTGTTTATGAAATTGCTATCTTGCCCTTTCTCCCAAAGGAGCCCAGAGTGGCAGACAAGAAAGTAGTAAAAGCAATACAATTCTGATAAAAGAAAACATATTTAAAACAATTAAAAGCATTTAAACACAAAAAGAGCATTTACGAACTTTGAAAAACAGCCACAAACCCTCACAACTGATCATTTCAGAGTTGCTAGGAACGTATCTTTCACCCATCAAATGACCCAGAAGGGCACATATATTTAATATATTGGGCATCTTCCACTATTTTTATGATTTATATATCACCTAACATGCTTACAAATATATAAAATACCAAAAGCAGTTGTACGTCTTTCAGATTTAAGAAGTTATATTTAAGCTCCAGTTGCAAAGAGAACAGTCCAACTGGTATGGGTTTTGATTGGGGAAACGGCTAGTATGTGCTGATTGCTGCAACCCTAAATTATGTACATGTACCAGGGAGTAAATCTCATTAGACACAATGAGATTTGCTTCCAAATAAACAAACATGGGATTGCTTCATAATCTCCACCACATATATTGGTACTGTCTTTATGAATTCCATTTCTAGGCTGTTATCCCTGTTGAGTTTGCTAGACGGAAAAAAGCAGGATGGAATTCTGAAAGCATGCATACATATGTAAACATCACTGTTGCTGATGAACTACTGATGTTCTGACTGTGCACTTCTTCAAAAATATTTCAGATTCCCAGTAAATCACACAGGAATAATTTAGATTCTCACACCCGAATATTCTTGTAATACAACAGATTCCTGTAATACAATATTCCCAAAGGCCGTAATTGCTTTCAGATTCCTCTATACATAGATATATAAATTTTCCTCATTATCTTCAGCCTCCATCAGAACACCCTGGAAACACACTCTGCCATCTTATGGGAACTCTGATGCCACTGATGCAATATGTGGTGGGGGAAGTTCTCTGAGGGCAGTGCTTAATGAGAATGCCAGCCTCTAGGCACCAACGCAGTGCCACTGCTGTTAATTAAACTTTAATATGTAGCATAAAA